AACTCATGCAGTGAGCTCAAAGGCTGAAACCAACCTCCCTGAACAACAGGAAAGGAAATATTTGAAATGCTTCTTTGGTCCTCATACATCTTGGGATTGGAACTTTATTTGTTCAATTCTTCCACACAGAATCCAGGAACCTGTTCTGGCCCCCTGTGAGTTTCTGCTGTAAATGTTTAATCAACTGCAATTATGATAAACACATTTGTACCACAAGACAAAACGTGATAATAAGTTTAAAGTGCTATAAGCAGGCTAATAGCAGTGACTGATCTCGGGCAGCTTTATAACTCCTGTCGAAAACCATTGGACTTAAGGCACAAGACTTTATGATGCCTTGTAGCTATTGACTTCAATATCACTGTTACATGGCCAACTATTAGGGCTCATGCACTTTTAACTTTTGCCCCATGCTTACTAGTGCCCCATGCTTACTAGGCACAGATCCAGGCCCTTCAACTGTGTCTCTATTTTCCAGGGACAGTCCCAGATTTACAGAAGCCGTCCCGGTTTCTAATTTGATTAGAAGCAGTAGACTGTGGGTTTTCCCAGGGAACGCGGCAGGACAAAAGAGAAACCTTTCAGACCTGTGCCTAGAAATCATGGGGTGAGCTCTCAGTGTTGCCAAGTGTCTTTTGTTCCATCAGGGTTTGCAAGAACAGGCTAAAGTTGACACTCTCTTCAGGATGGGAATGGGAGAGAATGTTGGTTCGTTTCAGATTTTAATTTAATTTCAATTTGTTTTAATTTGGTTTGGTCCACTACCTAATTTAAGGGACGTGGGTGGCGCTGTGGGTTAAACCACAGAGCCTAGGACTTGCCAATCAGAAGGTCGGTGGTTCGAATCCCTGCGATGGGGTGAGCTCCTGTTGCTCGGTCCCAGCTCCTGCCAACCTAGCAATTCGAAAGCACATCAAAGTGCAAGTAGATAAATAGGTACCACTCTGGCGGGAAGGCAAACAGCGTTTCCGCACGCTGCTCTGGTTCACCAGAAGCGGCTTAGTCATGCTGGCCACATGACCTGGAAGCTGTATGCCGGCTCCCTTGGCCAATTAAGCGAGATGAGCGCCACAACCCCAGAGTCGGCCACGACTGGACCTAATGTTCAGGGGTCCCTTTACTACCTAATTTGCACTTCCTGACACAATACGCAGACCAAAATACTGTACAACTATCCTTTGAAATCCACACCCTTACTTCTGGGTATGTCATCATAATAACTTCAGTTTATCCCTTGCTGTTTCTGCCTAGGAATTTGTCCCCCCATCCCCCATTTTAAAGATGCTGTGTTCTGAGCCTCAAATTTTGCACTATGCTTGGGAAGAAAAGGGAAGAGAAACGTGAGGAGAGAAGTGGAGGGAAGCAGCTATGTTTTTTTAGAGTCAAATCCTGGCTAGTGTTTCCTTCTTGTCAGTCTGCCCTCATCCCAGACACTTGGTCACAAGGGGAGACTGATGGACCGAGGGAGCAGGACGTGGTGTGAATTTAACCAGCTTTTTAAAAAAAAACCAAAGAAAACAAACAACCTTTATTTCCTCCAGCAGCAGAATCATGCAAAGCATCAGGCAAGGCAAATACTGTATGGTGTTGGCAAGCAAGAGAAATTTGGTTCAGAATGGCTAGGAGTTCAAACCCCAAGAGGTGCTATGAGGCACTCGTGCCAGATAAAATTGGCACATTTGACACAGCTCATAGTGCAAAGAACAAAGAAAAGAGATGGTTTGACCAAAAGGCAGCCAGACTTCTCCCTGTAGGAATTCTAGGTTTTACACATGCACACATGCCCCTACCTGGCTTTCGATGTTTTGACAGTGGGCATTGTAGGCGGAAAGTCAAAATGACAACCTCTTTCACAGCTTCCCTTTTTCATGCACACTTTCCAAGCAGACACTCATAAAGAGTATGGAATAATTCAAGAGGAGTGGGGTGATTCTTTCTTTCTTTCTTTCTTTCTTTCTTTCTTTCTTTCTTTCTTTCTTTCTTTCTTTCTTTCTTTCTCACTATGCCCCCCCCCTTGTCTCCAGCACAGTGTATTTGCTACCTGCAAATTTTGCAGAGAAAACACTACCCACTGGACAGTGTTGCCCTAGGAAGGCACCTACAGCTGCTAAATGTTAAATCTGGCCCTGCACACATCTCTATCTCCTGGTTGCCATGGTGACAAGGAATCCTGGGGAGTTCTATGCCAGAAGTTTCTTCATGTTAAATGGGGAGGGGGAGACGCAGGGAAGAAATCTGCAGTCTTAAAATACAGAACAGTACAAAGCTGCGCTACTCGTTCTGTGGATTTCTGAAATAATGGACATTCTGGAACAAAGGTGTACTCTGCAGGGTTGCAGACTTTAAAAAGCAAAACTTGACATACGGCAACAAGGGGCTAGAGATGTCACCTGGCCTATTCCCCCCCCCCCGGCTCTTTGTTTTATATCTTCATCAGTGGTAAAGGGGAATTTTTTTTAGTTGCCTGCATAGATTCCAGTCGTCCAAGAAACAGTTGTCCAGCCTATGTTTAGTCATCCCAAAATAAAACATTTTCCCTTCTTGTTTTTAAAAAACGAACATTGCGTATTATGTCGAGTTGTGCTATTTAATTCTTACAAGATGTCATAAAATGCTAACCACTTAGCTACTTTGAACACAATACCGGAGAAACTGGTCATGGTTTGCAGGTCATTGGCCTGCAGTCTTGTTTTCTGAAGCACTTACTATTTGGGCCATGTTGGAGCCCCTGTGCCCCTCAATACCAGCTGCTGGAAGTCACAGGAGAGGAGGGGAGTGCTGCTCTTGCACCCAGGGTCATTTTAGGGGCATCCCAGGGGCATTTGGTTGGCAACTGTGGCGACAGGATGCTGGACTAGAAGGGGCACTGGCCTGATCCAGCAGGGTTTTTCTGATATTCTTATGGGGAGTAAAAGATGAGGAATGAAATAGGAGGATATAATGTTTAAAAAATGTGACGGGGAATATTATTCTGTCAGCAGCAGAGAGAAAGGAGAGGCAAAGATGGAAAGAATTTGGGGTACTGGCCATACATTTTCAACCATTCTGATGTAGCAGGAAATGAGGACCCTGTGGCTCCACCTCTCCCCCCCCCCCATCCCTTCAATGTTTCTATCATCCCTTCTTCTGACTTCCAAACAAAGCAGGGTTACCTTGCCACATTTTGAAGCAAGTGAAGGAATTCACCTTAATCCATTAAAAAGAGAATAGTCCCCAAAATATAATTAAGTCTAGAATTGAAGTTTTCCTTTGCAGTTCTGTGCAGATGCCAGGGGTCACCAACATGGCGTCCAGCTGGCCTGCTAATAACTCCCATGACAGTGCCTGCAGACGGTCTCAGTAAATATCTCCTTAAAAATCCACAATATTTGAGAGACAGTTTGCTCTTGCTGCTGCTCAGCTCCTGTTTGCAGAAGCTCTGCCTCTTCTGCACTGAACACATCCCCTTAAACATGTCCACAATCTGCTGGAGGACAGAATAGAGAAGAGGTGCTGAGAGCATCTCTCTGTGTGAAAGTGCCTCCCCCCCCCTGATAATAAGCCACTCTGGCAGCTCCCAACAGAATATTAAAAACACGATAAAACATCAAACATTAAAAACTTCCCTAAACAGGGCTGCCTTCAGATGTCTTCTAAATGCCAGGTAGTTGTTTATCTCTTTGACATCTGATGGGAGGGCATTCCACAGGGTGGGCACCACTACCAAGAAGGCCCTCTGCCTGGTTCCCTGTAACTTGGCTTCTCTCAGTGAGGGAACCACCAGAAGGCCCTCGACGCGGGATCTCAGTGTCCAGGTAGAACGATGAGGGCGGAGACACTCATTCAGTTATACTGGGCCAAGGCCATTTAGGACTTTAAAGGTCAACACCAACACTTTGAATTGCCTGCACCATTTTGTGGTCCTCTCCTTCTGCCCAAGAGGTTGGCAACCTAAGGCCCATGGGCCAGGTCCGGCCAATGAGCTTCCTGGAACCGGCCCACTGCCATTCTGTGGATCAGCGTGGGGATTCCGTGCTTTTTTTCCCGTGGCGCCATTTTTTTCTCACTGCAGGGACCAACTTCTGGGTCGGAAGAGCACCAGAAATAGCGTGTGTGCATGCACACGGGCGCTCCTCTGTCCTGGAAGAGCGCCGGAAGTAGCTTGAGCGCATGCACAGGCGCGAGCGTGCACGCTCCGGTCCACTGAGAGGTCTGTCAGGAAGTGGACCGGACCCGGCCTCAAAAAATGTTGCTGACCCCTCTTCTGCCCTTTTAGATGTGGCAGACATGCCCCTACAGCAGCCATTTGGGGGCTGAAATGTTGGTGAGCCCTTTTCTAGTCTGTCCACTGTGTTCCATCCCGGTATTCTATTCTAAAGCAAGGAATACTTCTTTGAAATAAGCATTAAATAGCTTCAAAATAAGGGATGCTGATAACAAATTATATTAAACCAAGGGATACTAGTATACATGTGGGTGTTTTTCAAAATGTGGTGTTTGTATATATCATATAAAAAATATGAACAGTCTGTATAGAAGTGGGGGTTTTGTTTGTCTTTTATTGTAACTAATATAGTTTATAGTGCTTCCCTGGTTAGCCTTGTAACTCTTGAGAAATTGTAATGAATGAAATGAATGAATGGACATAAGGTATCTATTTTTTACTAGTAATCAGCCTGTGTAAACAATGAAATGAGTACAGTTTTCATGGCTTGGAATCCTAGTTGTGCCTGAGGAACATATTTCCTGAGGCTTGCCTGAGCTCAGCAGAAAAGCTGGTGCCTGCCTATCCTAAGCAAATACCATTTTCTTAGTAGGGAGCTACCTTGAATATGTGCTGTGAAGTGACTAGTTAAGGGATTCCCCTGTAAAAGTGATGATATTTATAGTACCCAGTAGTGGCACATTTGTGGCACCATAAAACTAAAGATCCAGAACTTAAAGGATATCTCCACTGGGCCTTTCATGCTGTAACTAATTATCTCCCCTCTTTTTCCTCTCTCTTTCTCTGTCTCCCACAGGTTGTTGTGTCTTTCTTTCTCCAAAGGGGCTGATAAAAAGCACAACTCCCAGCAGCAATTGCTTCTGTTTGGCTATATTTGGACATCACAGTATAACTGTTTATTCACCTAAGGCTGGAGTTTCCTTGCGGCAGGATGGCCATTGGACACTGCTGTTGAATTAAAGGTGTTTCAGAGACACAACTGCCCACAACAAATGGTAGGCTATCTGACACCTTTGCTCTGACCAGGGAGGTCTCCTTGTGGCTTGGAAAGGTGCTTGCTGCCCTCTTGAGGCAGTGCAATGGCATCCTCTGCCACCCTATGGATTCTGCTGGTCTATCCTGTTGCGTGCCACACCAGCATTCATGGCCAGAGCCCCGGATACAACGTGCCAGCCAAGAAGGAGATCAGCTTGGAAGGTGACCTGGTTATTGGGGGCCTGTTCCCAGTCCACGAGAAAGGAAATCCTACAGAGGAGTGTGGCAAGATCAATGAACATCGTGGCATCCAGCGCCTTGAAGCTATGCTCTTTGCCCTCGATGAGATCAACAAGAACCAGCAGCTTCTGCCGGGCATCACCCTGGGAGCTCACATCCTAGACACCTGTTCCAAGGACACCTATGCCCTAGAACAATCCCTGGATTTTGTGCGTGCCTCCCTCACCAGAGTGGACGGCTCTGAGCACATCTGCCCTGATGGGTCCTACGCCATTCATGATGATGTACCTACAGCTATCACAGGGGTTATCGGGGGCTCCTACAGTGACGTCTCCATTCAGGTACCATTTGCAAACCAGGAGGGAGCTGGTGGGAATGTGGAGTGTGGTGCTTAGAATTGGGGTGTTGTGTATGAGGGGTAAAAAGAATGAGTGCAAATGAAAGAAGCCAGGTCTAGGCATTTGCTCATTGGATAATTGATGGTTACTTGAGGAGCCTATGGGTGCAGCTATAGAATACAACTGTGAAACTAGGAATCAAGTCATTAAGTAGCTTCCTTTCAGTGCATTAAGGTAGCATAGTGGTTTCCAGTTGCTTGGCCATGAGTTTAGTAAGTGGCCCTAAGGCAAGCTAATACTGTATTGTTCTGCCAGTTCCATGCCAAGCCTTGGCAACTGTTATTCTTGGGCAGCTGCTGAGGCCCCAGTAGGGCTTCTCTTGGTGCTTGCTTTTGGCCTGCCACACTGAGTAGCTGGGTCTGGGAAGCCGCTGCTTAAATATTTCTGCAATGCCCTGGCATTCTGGGGCATTGTGGGAAATTTTTAAGGGCAGCTTTCCTGGGTCGGAGGAGAAGAAGAGTTTGGATTTGATATCCCGCTTTATTACTACCCTAAGGAGTCTCAAAGCAGCCAACATTCTCCTTTCCCTTCCTCCCCCACAACAAACACTCTGTGAGGTGAGTGGGGCTGAGAGACTTCAAAGAAGTGTGACTGGCTCAAGGTCACCCAGCAGCTGCATGTGGAGGAGCAGGAGACGAACCCGGTTCACCAGATTACGAGTCTACCACTCTTAACCACTACACCACACTGGCTCTCTGTAGAAGGAGGCATTACTGTAGAAAAAGGCCCTTTTAGCTTGATGCAAGGATGATGGGGGCAATGTCTGTAAAGCGCTTTGGTCATTATCAATTTAGGTATCACTATCTGGTTTTAATTCAGAATCAGTAGTCAGAAAATAAAAACCAATACCATCTTGGCATCAAAGATTTCCCTGTCTACAGTATTCTGTATTAAATGTCTTAAGAAGTGAATGGGCTCTGCGTTTGCAGACTAAGGGTGCAGGTACTACACACGTATTTGGAAGCCCACTGAACTCAGTGTGGCAGATTGTTCTGTAGATCGTGCAGTACATACATCAAGAGAATAAGGTGGCATCAGAAGAATTTGTATCCATAAAGCTAAGCACAGGACAGAGCGGAAGCTTCTCATGATTACCTATGGAAGGCATAGCCACAAGTTTAAAGACTTTATCTTATGTTGAAAGACTGTTGCATATTCAAGTGGATCATAGCTCTGCAAAACCAAATTGCTCTCCTCACATCAGATTCTTCTGCTACAAAATGCCTCATATTTTGGAATGCTTCTCTATAAACTATCACCAGAACTGCAACTCTAGGCAATGCATTCTTACAATGGGAATCAATTGGGACCCTATAGATTTCAAAGGCTCTCCATACTATTGTACAGAACGAGATGAGAAGTGGGATGAGACTCCTGGGATGAGATGGTAGGAGGTCACATGTTATTCTAATATCAGATACACGCTCACCTTGGAAGTGAGAACAGAGAACAGGCAGGTTATATTTGTGAAAACATAGCTGATGGCCATTGGGGATGGTATTTTGCATATATTTTGCAGCAGGCTCAGTTATCTGAGCGAGCCTTTGTGTGCCCAGGATTTGTGGGTGTTTCCAAACGCCCTGCCATTGTTTTATTGTGATGCTTCCTGAGGTGCAGTGAACGTGGTAATCACAGCCTGACTCACACACCTGTACGAGAGACAGAGCGACCTTTTTATAGCCCTCTCTGACCGCCACCTCTACCTTCGGGTTCATCCCTCCCGACAAAAGCTCTGCCTGATTCTAGGCTTCCTAACGCAGGGACCGTATCCCAGAGCATCCGTGTGACAGAGTAATTAGCTGCTGCTCCTGAGAAGCCCTGAGGATGTATTAATGCTATAATTAATGTAAATTAATATATCATTATCACGTACAGAGCCCATTGCCAGGAGAGAAAGAGGGAGAGAGCTGAACACGGCTAGCTATCTCATTTGCAGAGAGAGGACGAGCCTGTTGCCAGGGCTTTGCTCATAGATGTTTCTGGCCCAGTTCCCCAAAAGCAGAGCAGCCTTCTGAGGGAGGCTTGCATTGCATTCAGCAAACTAGCAGTTTGAGGAGGGTCTTGCCTTGGCGATGCCAGTGCAAAATAGTTCTGTCCTTTCTCCTATAGCTTGCAGCTCCTGCTGCCTCATGCTATGTTTGCCTCAGTTACAGATTTGACCCCAATTCCTGTGGGTAGGAAGACCACAGGATCCCTCTGAAGACACCTGAGACCATGGCCATCTGTCACTTAATTTCAGGAGCTTCCCTACAGATATGCCAGGCCAAACTCCTCCTCCCTCCTTCCTTAGTCAAATGCCACTAAGAATGCATTGCTGGAGCTGGGCTTTTGGTGGATGGAGCCGAAGAAACAAGAAGGACTTGCAAGAAGAAGGTTTCTATTTAGCAGGGTCAGTGGCAGCACTGGGCACCTGCCAGGGCTCCCAGAACCTTGGCACTGCTGAATCATCATCACCATCATCATATAATTATACCCCAGCCACTCTGGCAGCTCCCAACACAATATTAAAAACACGATAAAACATCAAACATTAAAAACATCCCTAAACAGGGCTGCCTTCAGATGTCTTCTAAAAGTTAAGTAGTTCTTTATTTCCTTGATATCTGATGGGAGGGCGTTCCACAGGGTTGGTGCCACTACCGAGAAGGCCCTCTGCCTGGTTCCCTGTAACCTCACTTCACACAGTGAGGGAACTGCCAGAAGGCCCTTGGAGCCGGACCTCAGTGTCCGGACAGAACGATGGGGGAGAAGACACTCCTTCAGGTATACTGGGCCAAGGCCGTTTAGGGCTTTAAAGGTCAGCACCAATGCTGAAGACTGGGCTGGGCACCCCTTAATTCCCCCTCTTCTGGCCTGGCACTCTAAGCACTGCCCGTTGGCTAGATCAAAGGACACTTTCCCCAGGGCCCACTGAGTCCTGATATTTTGAGGAGGTAGCAGGTGAATTCAAAGCAAATCCTCACAGTGTTTTTGGGGGAGGTGGTTGTGCACTGGCTTTCCACCATATAACTGCCCTGAAAGTCACAGAAGATCCTATGATTGACTGCTGCTCTGGGCTATGAAGCTGGTGTGGTGTAGTGGTTAAGAGCGGTAGATTCGTAATCTGGGGGACCGGGTTCGCGTCTCCGCTCCTCCACATGCAGCTGCTGGGTGACCTTGGGCTAGTCACACTTCTCTGAAGTCTCTCAGCCCCACTCACCTCACAGAGTGTTTGTTGTGGGGGAGGAAGGGAAAGGAGAATGTTAGCCGCTTTGAGACTCCTTTGGGTAGTGATAAAGTGGGATATCAAATCCAAACTCTTCTCTTCTTCTTCTGGGTTGGTTTGGTTTCTGAAGTTGCTGAGCTGTGGTTTGTGAAGAGCATCTGTTTAGTGTCCTTTTATGCTACATCCGCCTCCCTCCTTCTCCCTGTTTCAAGCAGAGTATCACATGACTCTGCCTTCCTGCTACTTAGAAGTGACAACAGTGGGAGTTGAAGAGTGGGAGACTCAGACATGCTTCTTCCCATCCACCCTTTCCACCCCTGGTCCCCTTACAGTTTATTGTTCCATGCCAAATGTAGATGGCAGACTCCCTGGATCACACCCGCACATGCCCATACCACCATTTCTTTTCCTTTCAAGGGAAGTCCCTTTGAACCAGGCACTTGCCAAATTGCAAAAAAAGAGGGACAGAAATCACGCGCACCTTTTAAGGGAGGAGAAGGTATAACTGAAAGAAAGAAAGATGTGTGGGTGGGAAACAAAGAAGAGGGGGGATAAACAGTGGGGGAATAGTATCTGCACCATACGTTTAAAGCACATTTAATGGCACACACATTCACACATGGCTTCCCCCAAAGAATCATGGGAACTGTAGTTTACCCACCAGAGAGCCACCATTCCCAACACCCTTAACAAACTACAGTTCCTAGAATTCTTTGAAAAAAGCCATGTGCGCTAAATGGACTTTAAATGTTCTTTCAGTGTGTGGATGTTGCTTAAAATAAAGGAATGAAGCAAGAAAACCCGTAGGAAGTAAAAAAAGAACAATGAAAGACAAAAGAGGCTGAGCCGAGAAGGTGCAGAGAGCGGTAGTTAGATCTGATTAAGGGGAGCAGGGCACGAAGGAAAGAAAAGGGGGTCATCTTTTCCCCCCTTCCTCATGCTCTGATGGTGTCGTGCTGGCCATGGGCAGACAAAGAAAGCAGGACGCAACATTCAGAAAGATAACCAGCTCAGCCGGCTAGATGGCTGTGTTTTTAATAAAGGAATCATTAGCTAAACTGACAGCCCAAAAGGTGGGTAAATAGCAAAGCAGGGCAAGGAGTTATACAAAGTGAGCGAGGGACAGTTGGTGAGATAATTAGGGAGCTTATTAAAAAGATCCACAGATAATTTGGCTACAGAACCCTCTCCGCAGAGTTCTGCACTGGCAACAAGAACACAAAGGCGTTTTATTAATAATTCTGGGTTCTTCTCACTGGCTGCTGTCCCCTGTGGTTTGTGTCCCCTCCAGGCTGGAGGAGACCGGAGTGCTCTCTCTGCCTCTGATTCTCTCCTTGAATCCCCCAGGACTGGCACAGAAAGCTACAGATTTGATCCAGCTGAGACACTGTGTGTCTAAAGCAGGCAGTGGATTAACACCTTCCCTGCTTCTCTCCAGCCCTTCTCTCCAGCCCTTTTTGCTTCCCAAGAGTGAGTTGGGCAAAGGCTGCATAAAAGGGAAAGGCTCGCTTAAAGCAGTGGAGCGCAGGCCCTCTCAGGGGTTCAAAGAGGCCTGGACCACATCCAGCTTTTGAGACCTCTGCTCAGAACACACACACACACACACACACACACACACACACACACCTATCTCAACAACCAAAAGCTGCTTCCTTCCTTGTTTCAAACCCAGTGCAAGAAATAAAATTGATCTGCAAGAGAGCACATCTGAGAACTAAATATACAAGTTGAATGGGAGAAATTTGCACATTGAAACTCCTCAGATTCTCCAGTATTTAGGCTGCTATCCTAACTCCACTTACCTGGGATCAAGCCCCATTGAATTTAGTAGAACTTATTTCAGAGTAGACATGGTTAAGATTGCACTAGCCATGCTGTGGGAATTGCATTTTTTAAAACATGGTTTGTGGGGTGGGGCTTTTTAAAGGGAAAACTGCCCAAGGGTATGAACTGCCCAGGGGTATGTAATTGATTATAATTTGCCTGCAAAGCATGCACCACTGTAACACACATTTTCCCCATGTCTGCGTACTGTACATGCTTTCTTGTTCAGAGTCACATTTTATGACATTTAGAAGCCTGCATGGAGTGGGAGAAATTCTCAGAACTGGGACTTTGGCAGCACTAATGCAAAGGAGTTTATAGAAAAGCTTCACATGAGGCGTCTTGAAACAGGGCAACAAAGCTTTATTTGGAGTGAGGGATATAAAAAACATGAAGTTGTCACAGAGCCACACAGTACAACAGGCCTACAAGCCTCAGCTCACAGTCTTCTTCGTACACAGACTACATCAGATTCTAGAACGACCACTTTTTATGCTATTTAAAGAAATACAGTGGTACCTTGGTTTACGAACTTAATCCATTCTGCAAGTCCGTTCTTAAACTGAAACCGGTCTTAAACCGAGGCGCGCTTTCCCTAATGAGGCCTCCTACCGCCGGTGCCCTTCCACCGTTCGGATTCCGTTCTTAGACCAAGGTAAAGTTCTTAAACCAAGACACTATTTCCGGTTTTGCGGAGTTTGTAAACCAAATCGTTCTTAAACCGGACTGTTCTTAAACCGAGGTACCACTGTAGTAGCCTAACACAAAATGACCGCAACCTCTGAAAGAGCAGAAAAAGAAGACAGACGGGAATATAAAATTGTACAAATAATCATGTTTCCCCCCATATGATCTTTAGTAATAATAATGATACTAATAATGATGACTATGCTTCTGCATTGTGCTTCCCTCACCCCGCAACAACTTGGGAGCAATCCCTGTACCCTGTTGTGTGGCAGACAGCAGGAAAAACATGCCTCTGTACTTGGCATCCCACCCCAAAAGAACAACAACTTTGGAACAGTTCCTGCTATGGGGCATGCAGCAGGAACAGGGAAGAGTTGCCATATCCTCCCTTACCCTCACCCCAACATTCAGCTGAGGCCCATCCCAAGCAGTTGCTTCTCTCCCTCCCACACTCCCATATATATATTTTTAAAAAGCTTGCCACCACACAAACACATTCAAGAAGTCTGCCAACTGCTCCACATGGCTGGTAGGCAGCAAAGCAAGCACAGTAGTGCAGCTACCACTTTGGCTCACAGAATGATCCAGCACAAACTTCCTGCCACAGAGGAATGTGGGTCATAATACTTCACAGTCATAATACTAGGGGGGGGGTAGGCCTTCTGCTGAGTCATTACCATTTAAAACTCTTTAATATAACTATATCTGTATCAGTTAAACAAAATTTTAAAAGCATTTTGCCAAATCACGTTTCTTACTTGCTTAAATGTTCTAAACTGTGAATGTTGCATTTCGGTCCGATGTCCATAAAAACAAGTTGCAGAACTTAACAAATGCTGAATTTGAGGCCTCCTTTGAGCTTGAGGCCCTCCTGGCCCTGCTCTGATAGTCCCACACACACACACACACACAGAGAGAGAGAGAGAGAGAGAGAGAGAGAGAGAGAGAGACTTTCTTGTGGTATCTTCTTTTGCTTGCCTCATGTCATGATAGAACTAATTAAACTAACAAACTGACCCCCAAACTACCCTTCCTTTCGCATTGTCATAGTGATCTAAGGAACAGTAGTCAGCACAGCAAAAGGATCGCAATTTGGGGTCAGAGGAGGACAAGCAGCCAGCTTTGTAGTAAAGTGTTGCCTCTGCGGCACAGCTTCTATATAATTCCTAATATGGCTGCCGTGAGGAACATCAAGCCCCCTAGATGTTGCTGGATGCCAACTCCCAAGAGCCCTGGTCAGCATGACCAAAGGCCAGGGATGATGGGATATGTAGTCCAATAACAGCAGGTTAGAGGGTGGGGGCACAGGTTCATAGGGATGTTAGTTTAGTGGAGGGTCCATAGTTTCATGGCAGAGCACATGTTTTCATGCAGGCTATCCCAAAGTTCAGTTCTCAGTACCTCCAGTTAAAAAGGATTGAGTAGGATGTGATGTGAGAGCCTAGAAAGCCAGTTCCAGTCTCTTGATGAGCAAACTGGGCAATTTTTCTGACCTGGTATAAGGTAGCTTCCAATGTTCCTAGATGTTTGCACGTGAAAATATCATGTCAGAATGGTTCATCCATGCAGTATTCTGAGTGACGACTACACAATGAACACCAGAACTTCTCAATTCATAGATTGCCTAGGGGTATGCTGTATGTGAACGACCTATTTAAACTCTTTTACACATTTTGCCCAGAAGAAACATCCCAAGAGCTGTCCAGCGGAAGCCAAACATTACATTGGAAATGACTCCATGTCTGTGAGAAGCTATTTATGCATTGTAAACTATTTTTATTATTCTTGTAACTATCAAGTTACAATAAAAGAGATTCTGACTAAACATCAGGAAGAACTTTGTTGTGACAGCAAGAGCCATTCAACAGTGGAACGGATTCCCTCAGGAGGTGGTGAACTCTCCTTTCGTGAAGGTTTTTAAGCAGAGGTTGGATGGTCATCTGTCATGGATGCTTTAGTTGAGATTCCTGCAGTGCAGGGGGTTGAATGAGATGACCCTCAGGGTCCCTTCCAATTCTACAATTCTTTGATTCTAGGATTATTTATAAATTTCTATACCATCCTTCAGCCAAGGAGCACAAGGTTGGTTTACAATATAAAAACACAAAAATGCACACCACAGTACCATACCCTCATGCTACCTGACATCAGATCTCTAGAAAGAAGCACTGTGCTTCCAAGATGCTTCCAGCCTTTAGCTCATGGCTCACTCTGTGTACCTATCTGCTGTGCCTGTCTGTGTTTACCTGCCTCAGACTGCTGACACACACACACAATCTACAAACACTGTTGACTTACTCATTCCAGAGACCCTAATAAATAATCTAATAATTAATCATTTAACAATAGGGTCCCATCGAGAGACACCCCTTGCCCATCCTGGACTATTGAGGAACATCAGCATTCATTTTGTCAAATCCTAGAATGTGATCTTTCAGTTTGCTTTCAGTCAAATCCATGGCAATCGTCCACCCACAGTAAACAGACAGCAGCCGTACAACTGTATGACAAAGCATGCATTTATTTCACTCCCTGGGGTCTGAGTTTGAGAGCAGTCTCTTCTACCTTCTCCACAGAGACTCTTTACTCAACAACAATCTCAATGTTCAAATCTATGCCATCCTGATTCAGGTTGCTAAGAGAATAGGCGCCGGAGGTTTTCTGGAAGCTGTGGTGCCGCCAGTTACTTTGGATGATCTGGGCTGCCCTTTGATACTTCTTGTACCGTGTTCTCATAAGCCACATCTTAAACATTGATTGCAAGAGGACGGAAGCCTTCTCAGACCAAATGTACGTCGATAATGCCATTGCCCTTTTCTCTTCTCGCCTCCGGAAGGAAATCATGCGCCACCATTTCTGGACCAACCATGCACAGACGATGGCGTGTTGCAGGCTACGGCGGACTAGAGTACCACGCCACCATTTCTGGATGGTAATAGCAGCCTAAAAGTAGGAAACAATGACTCAGGTGTCACTACAACATAAACAGAAAGGGGCCGAGGCACAAATCCCTTTCCCTGTTAGTTTTCTCTCTCATACAAGAATCAGTCATATTGTGTCAGACATTTAATAGTTTCCGTCAGCCAAACAAGACACAAAACTGAAAAGATGCAAACTGGATGTTGAAAATGGTCTTTTCCCACCTGTGTCCAACAGCTAGGCCACAACCTTATAGTTCTCACTAAAAAAAACAACCTACCTGGAAGCAGGCATGGTGGCAGTGCAGGAAAAGCGCTTAAGAACGTAAGAAGAGCTCTGCTGGATTAAGCCAATGGCCCATGTAGTCCAGCATCTTGTTCCCATAGTGCCCCCCAGATGCCTCTAGGAAGGCAAAATTGCCAGTATAGAAAGTCTGGCATGTACCTTAACTTCCTTTTTCGAAGTTTCTGGCACTGAAGGTGGTGGTGACGTTGGCGGTGGTGGCGGCGACGTTGATTTTTTGCGAGCCTTATGAAAAGATGGCCAGAATAAAGAAAGAAAGAAATATAAGCATAGAGAAGGGTCAAAAGAGTCTGTAGGACTGCTGAGCCTTATGCTACGAGAGCATTCAAGCTCTTTACCAACGGCTGCCCTTCCATTTATGTAATTTTGTATTTGTTGGGTGCAAAAGGCCAGCGCTTGACTAATGAGCAAGAGGGTGGTGCAGCAACAGACTACACTACATCTTGCTTTTTATGAAAACCAGTGCTTACTTCCTAAAAATAGATGTGCGGTTCAGGCATGTTCCAGAAGCTAACTGTTCCGTTGTTCCATCCTAATTCCAGAGATTGTGTGGGTTACTGATGTATCTGAATGTGCCTACTTCACAGTGTGCAAAGCTCTCCCTTGCCCAGGCTACCCACCCTCACCAGCAGAGAAGCGTCATTCAAAGCTGGCACTGTTGCCGGTGCTTTGTGGGCACCACCGCACAAAGCAAATAAGGACGGCTGGTGTGGCGTGGCACTAGCAGGGTGGTGGGGCGGCAAGTCCTGTTTCATCTCGAGTGGTTAAATTGAACATGCCACCCCTGGTTTCACCCTCCCCTCCTCCACTATCATAACTAAAACACGGAAAACAGCCTCAGGTATTGTTTGGCTTGGGGAGGAAAGCTCCCGCAGATACCACTGGAGGCGTGAGGATGGCAGTGCAACAAAGGAGTCAGTTTCTGATCATAGTATTTTGCATAGCGTAGGACACTTTGCAAAGGAAGATTGGCACGCGGCACTCAACTTACGCAACATTTTTTGCAGAAAGCAATCATTTCTTTCAGGGAAAGCCCATGTCTCGAGGGGAAATGATGATCCGCTTCTAGCAACTGAAGCTCTCTTAGAACCGCAGCGTTGAGCTGGGTTGTAAACTCTGATGTCATAATGAACACGCCAACACTCCCCTGCTCTAATTCTCACTAGTTAAGAATGAGTCTGTCAGATATGATTTGTCATTGCTTAACTGGCTGGGCTAGAGAAATGTCACTTCTGTGTGTGCATGCACCATGGAAACAGGAGGAAGTTTTCCTTCTGGAGCCAGTTTTTTTTAATTGGCAGTGAAGGCAGAGCTTAGGCGAGGGATGTTCATACAAGCAAGCAACTGCACCTGCCAACTGATGGCACAACAACCATCCTTTTCCCCCTTCCTGTATGGCTGTGGGCGCACCTGGCTCAGTGTTGTTTTCTCTTTCACACCCATGGCCAGACGCAGTTGCACTGTTAGGGTCAGACTTTATGGTGGGCATCTGGGGTGCTGCAGTCTGGGTGGGCCCACAAACGATGCCAGTGAATGAATGGCAGGTTCTGGGGGGTGGCTGTGGTGAGCCATGGTGTGTAACGGAACAAGGCAGGGCACCCTCCAAAGCTCTGCCCACCTGGCATTTTCATTCCACCACCATCTTTTTGGGTCCAGAGGCATTCTGGGGTAATAAATGTTTTGGGAAGCTGGTTCAACACAGCACTTGGTGGGCCGACCAAGTCCAGGACCAGGCAGCGAAACGACAATGCAAACCAGAGACACCTTGGCCAGCCTAGCTTACAATATCTTCTGACAAGCCTGGCCAACCCTGAGGTTCTGCAAGGTGGCTAGAGCCTGTCCTTCCTCTCAAGCCAGCCCCATCCACACCACTAGATATTGTGGAAAACTCCATGCAATCTCATCTCTGGCCGTCCAAAACTTTTAGCAAAAAGGAAAGGGAACCCCTTGCACCAAGGCCATCTTTACCCGGTGGAGCAAGGGGCACCCGGGCACCAAATTCCCGGGGGTGCCAGATGCCCGCCGCTGAAGCTACCTAAGCTCTTAACTATCTACCTGTTATGAAATAATAAATAATTTTGATCAAGCTAGAAACACAAAATACATATATACCTAGGTATCATCGAAATGTATACCTGCTGTTTCATGAAAGGACTTTCGACTTTGTGCGCTCATTTACCAAAGACGTGCCGCGCCAGAGGTGATACTTGGCATTCACAATGGCGGCGCTTGTCAGACGAGTCAACGAAGGTGCTTGTCATTTTCAATGGCGCCGTGCACGCGAAATTAACTCTTACAAAATATTATGTTACGTATTGTATTGAGCTGCTACGTGGCAGCGGGGTGAGTCAGCGGCACCTTTGACACGACTGATCTCGTACCGCCCACCTGCCGGCTGCATGCAAGCTGCGTGAGATCAGTCATGTCAAAGGTGCTGCTGACCCCGAGTGAAACATTGCAAATTGCGTTTGAATTTCATCACTTACAGTTCAAATTCATTTAGAGAAATCGTTTTTTAAAAATGTTTATTTTCACTAATTGTCGGCATTTTCTTTAACTACTTAGCACTTAGGGCTCTTCTACACATGCGTTTCAGCACGCAATTTTAGTTTTCCATTTCCGCAAAAACTCACCTAGAGCACACACACACTATGAATTCCACGAGCTGCATTTTTCTTCATTTTACGACAAATGCTAAAGTTAATTTGGGGGCTAAACTAAATTTGGGGGCGCTGGGTGGATCTTTGCACCCCGGCGGCGCATATGCTAAAGCACAAAGCTGATCACCAGCAACACAAGCACTTCTGCTTGCCTGGTGGAAGTGATCTGCCTTCTCCTACCCCTGGGGGCTCTTCTGAGGGCTGTCTTCCGACCTTCCAGAGCAGATCTGAAGGGGGGCATATGGGGATGAGAGGGGGGGAGCCCCACTGCATGAGTGAAAGTCCTTGTGTGGACTTCCACTGGTGGGACTGGTTAGTTAAATCTGTCCTTACCTAAGGAAGTCCCCCAGTATGTAGAAACCACTCCCTTATATGTTGGGTAGCTTTGTTTTGCTTCCAAATTTGTAGGCACACAAACACCTATTGGAACTTGTGGGGATAATTGTAGCCTAATGCAGTATGGAAGTAGATTTACCTGATCTGTGCTTTCCCTTGGATAATCATGGAATCCTAGAACTGTAGAGCTGGAAGGGAACACAAGGATCATCTAGTACAAACCCCCCGCAATGCAGGAATCTTTCACCCAACATGGGGCACAAACTGCTGACCCTGAGCTTAACAGTCTCGTGCTATGGCTCTAAGGACAAGTTGGTGACAAGAGATAAATTGTTCTCACTAAAGTATAACTGGTAACTAGCATTACCGGTACTTTTACAGATCTTTTTTAACATTTGAACAAAAGAGCTACTTAGTCCCACCCCCCAGCTGTTACAGAGGCAATCTACCATAATTACGATCATAGCTGTTAAATAAACAACAGTCCATTAGCAAGAGAGAAATGGCTGCGTTATTGTAGAGGTCTTAAATGGCCCGGAGTTTTGCACTGAGTCTTGCAAAAGCCCCGTTCTGCAAGGGGTTATGAAATTATAACATCATGCTAATAATTCTAAAATCAAGCCTGGCAGGTGTGGAAGATTGTTCCCATTCCCCACAGCGGATACAGTTAAACACGAGGCTTTAGGTCAAATGCCCTTGACACTGCCGGTGGGGAGTCCTTGAAGGGCAATTTGCCATCTCGGGTGCCTTCTTGCCGCTATGGAATGTAATTTTCTGCTTAAAATTTATTTGTGCATGTTAATTATGCAGCAAGGTTTTGACACATCCAGAGCTGTGAAGTGTGTTCTGGTTCTCAACTCCGAAGAGCCTATCAGATGGCAGGGCTTTTTCCTCTAGCCTGCCTCTTTTGTAGTCTGTATTTTTAACAACCTCATTAGTGAGGATTTCTCCCCTTTGAAGATAATGAGCATTACTGCAGAGCATCTGGACCAAGTGGAGAGTTTGAGTCGCAGACTGCAGCAGCACCATCCACAGCTCTGGGTGCACATTTTCGCTGCTGGTAGATTATTTGACTTGCTCTTCACTTTTTCCTCTTTCGGAAGGGCTCTTAGGCCAGGCACAAAGGCAGCAGATTAGCTTTCTCCTTGCACAACATCTGCTTGTACATCACTGTGATCTACATCAGTCATAGAATTGTGTAGCCTGCCTTGCAGCTCTTACAGCAACGGATCTGCAACAACCTTATTAGTGAAGCCTCCCTTCTGCTGCCTTTTACATGAGCTACGTTATAGCATCCATAGTAACCGTAACCGTACTGCTTTGTCTGCTCTAGTTTGGCTTCAGACTGTAATAGGTGCTTGTCATTCTCCCTCCTAATAATATACTGGAAGCTTTTACCACTTCTGCTTAAATTCTGTGATCTTCCACACTAACATTACATATTAGACATTTCCGCAAAATTCCTTCTGGCTGTTACATTTTGTCGTTAGTACGTTAGCATCATCTCACAAATTCCCTACTAATTACCTGTACCTGAGTTTATTACATAACCTCACATCATGTCTGATATCTAACTTGTGGTATATCAGCCCTAGTCTTGGTCAACCCCTTTCTCTGGTAACCTCCTGGTGAGACGACGGCAATATTTTACATGGTGCTGTCTCTCAGGAAGTGCAGTTCAGAAACTGCAGTTAAGTTAGAACAATGGCAGGGAACTGGTTCCAGCCCGTAAGCTAGATCCTGACCTCCCTCATCTTCCATGGGCCAACTTAGACTGATGGACAGTGCCACCCACCTATATCACAGTAATGTCAGGTAATCTGCTTTCCTTTGCCTGCGTAGTTTGAGATCAAATTGCACAGGCAAAGGCACAGCGCATTTCAGACACTGATGACCAGCTAATTGTCAGTGCTTGTACTGATAGTGATTTTCTGGTTGCCAGTGCTGCAAACCCCTGCCCTCCACCTGACATCCTAGATGACATTTGGTGTAGGCCAGGTGGGTGGGGCTTGGCTGAAACAGCCTCATGGGGAAAATTGGGGAGGCGTGCCAGGCCTAACTATGTCTACAAGTTCCCCACCACTGGTTAAGACTATGGCTGCTAGACAACAAGCTGTGCTGGGAATTAATATATATATATATATATATATTTCACCACTGCTTTGCTGACGCCACTGGCTACTAGTGTGGTTCTGCACCCATTTGAAAATGCTGATCTTGACCTTTAAGGCTTGCCAACAGGGACCTGGAGGAGAGCCTGTCTCCACATGTGCCTGGCCATCGATTCTCACCAGAGGTGCTTCTTCAGATTCCTCCATGGCTATTGGGGAGAAGAGAGGCCTTTCACTGAAGATGCCCTGGCTCTGACATGGCCCACATCCACCCTCTCACCGAGCGGTGAGGCAAGAGCGGGATATTACAAGCATGAAGTGTTGCAGCTCATCTTCCTCACCCACGGGGCAGAGAAGACAAGTGCCAAGGCCTTGTGGAATGCCCCCTCTCTCCCCAAATTTGGCAAGAGTGGGGGCATTCCACCTCATGGCAGAAGTGGTAATGGCAGCATATTCCTGTTTTGCCCCAGGTGGAGAAAGGGGATGGACTGCCCCGGCTTCCTTGATTTCATTCTTCATCAAGATCTCCACAAGTATTTTAAAGAGGGGGGCAACAGCATGTCCTCAGTACTGGATTTATTTTGGTGCCCAGGATCACCAGCCACAATGATTATTGGGGTTTCTAGCTTGCTGGACTCAATGTCCTCTTTGACATATTTTGTAGGTGAGCCTCTTCTCTGTGGAGAATGTATCGGCTCAACTGTTGTCCACTGTCCACTAGCTTTTGACCCCTTTGGCCAACATAGCCCAAGTGGTTTGCGTGGTACTCACAGCAGAGTGTTTGCCTTCTCTAAATCAGGGGCAGCCAACCTTTCAGCTGAGGTCATTGAGAAGATCTTGGACACAGTAAAGAAGGTGCAGAAGCTTGATCCTGAAAATCCAAGCCACTCTCTCATAGCTTTGAAGCTTCTCCTTCTCCCAGAAGTTTTGCAGGACCTGAATTCCAACTGCTTTCATGACAGCGCAGTGGCCTACGGCTCTGCTTTGCTGCACAGTGAGCGCATCGTACTGTGTCGTTTTTTGCAGAGCCAGAAGCCGCTCCCCTCCCCTTCTAGTCAGTGCAGTGGAGAAGGACAAGTGTCACTGCACAGCATTCCTGTGAGGCAGGAGTTTGTTTGTGTGTTTGGCGGTGGTTTCTGAAGAATAAAAGCACACCATTAATCTGTAAGATATAGTTCCATAACGGCTTGGAGAACGGCTTCAGACCACAAGGGAAATAATGACAGTGTAAAATAATGACCGAGAGTAAACTATTCCAGCCGTTGGTCACAAATGCTCTGGAGAGACTCAAGCCTCGGTCGTAACAGCTTGTTTTCAGCAACCTTTACTGCGTTAG